TCGTTCAACAAGTACCCAAAAGCACCACCAGGGGCCCCTATCATTAGTCTGCATCTATTTCTGGATATACTGCTCTTGATCATTTTTCAAAGTTGCCACCTATCAAGCTTTCCAGTTGGTCCTTTGAAAAATGATGGTAGAATTACATATATTTGGGATTGCTGCCCGCTTGTTCACCTAAATTTCCTTCATAGTGTTTCAAATTCCCCCGTGCATCACCTGATTATTTAAATGAACATTACCTTCATTCTACATGTTATTCTAAAATACCTGTCATTGATCCTAACCCCGACCAACTCAACCAGAAGCCGAAGGGGCTGCCTGGTGACCGCCCGCCTAGGCATTTCTTGGACTGGATGCCCCAGACCCTTTCCCACCAGTGCTCTAAGATGGCAGAGGCCAAATGTTTTGATAAGGTGAGGGTGAGCCTCAGACGCACAAACACCCCTGAGTGGCCATTGAGTGGAAGGTGTGAAGTAAGCCAAAGGGCTCCACCTTTATCTGAAACCGTCCTTCTTCAGAACATTTCTTTTTTGAAAAAAGGACTCGAAGAAGGGAAAGAGGGAAGAACAGAGAGTGGGAGGCGAGAGCACAACTACAAGGACAAGGTCAGAGCCCGCCTGCCTTCTCTTCCGCCCTGTCCGAGCACCACAGATGACACACTTGGCTGCCCAGCTCCTTACTGGGCCTCAGGGTTCATATCTGTGGGCAGTGCCAGGCCTGGCGACGCTGTGGCAGCCTATAGCACATAGAATCCAGGCCAACCCAGGCCAAAAGCAGGCGCTCACTGAACAACCATTCCTGCTTCCTGGTTGAGCTGCTGAAGGCCGGGAAAGAACTAGTATTCTAGGTGACTGCCGGCAGCACTGCCTGGAACGTGGCTGAGTTCAGCAGCTGTGAGGAATCGGAGCTTGCTCACTCGGAGAACAAGGAGGCAGGCAGCCCCGTGGGAGGTAAAGCCAGAGGCTGGGAGCTCGGAGGGCATGCCTGGGTTTGACAGGCATACCGGCACCTGTATCCTGTATCTGTCCTCCCCGAACAGCAGCTACAATAACGGGAACATTGCAGTTGTGACGGGCCCATCATGGTGTTGCAGGATCTGTCACTGGGGTGGGCCAACTCTCAGGCTATCGGCCTGGAAGCACGGTGAGCAGCAGGGCAGTTACCTGTGCCCCGTTCGATGAGGGCCATGTAGTAGAAACTGGTGTCCTCCGCCAGGCCCGCTTCCACAACTTCTTTGGTGAAATGCAGCTCCTAGGAGAGTCACCAGGGAGGTGGAGCGAGCAGGTCAAAGGTGCTGCCCTTCAGGTGAAGGGACAGGAGCAGAAAGAAAGGTAATAAGGGTCTGCAGCCCCCAGGGCAGTCAGGCTGAAAGGCCACTCTGCTACATACCATGTAATCCTCGTGGGCCAGTGTCACCCACTTCACCAGGCGAGAGACCACCTTTGCCGGGCAGAGGTACTGGCAATCGCTGGTAACGGGCACAATGCCGTGTTCTAAAAAAGAACAAGACAGATGCTGTCACAGGGAGCACGCAGGTGCCATGACTGGGGTGGTTGGATGGCCCTGCCCACTGTCCCAGTTCGCAAGCTCAGGAGACACTCAGCTCAGCATGTGCTAGGGACACTGGGGCTGGGCCCAGGCATGTGGCACTGGGTGAAGGTCAGGTTTGCATGCCTGCTTCTGGCTTCATCCCGAATACAACAGTCAGCCAGAGACACAAAGCCCCTGGAGCCAGAGCTAGTGGCCGGCTTGGGCAGCAGTGGCTGTTAATGAGATCAAATAGCCAGGAGGGCTGTGTGCTCCTGGCTGACCTAGTACACGACTAAGTGCTGGTTCCTCTGCTGGGAGGGGGGCTGGAGCGCTACTCTTGGAGCTGTTAGCAATATGCGAACTCCAAAAAACGCTGACCAGCCCCCAGGCCCCCAACCCAGGGCAAAACAAACTCCAAGAACGCTGGGCCGGGGCGGGGGCAGGCCTCCAAACAGCTCCAGGAGACGGCATCTTGCCAGCATGTCCAAGATGTCGATGCCGGCTCAAAGTGGTCAGAGACAGGATTTGAGGCTGTCAATCTGCATGGGAGCAGCCAGCCTTGCTGTGAGCACTCTAGTGCATATCCAACAGCCCCTGGGCTCCTGGGTTAAAACCAACCAACCAGATGCCGTTGAGTAGGTCCCAACCCATGGCGACCCCTCGGTCAGAGGAGAATTGCCCAAGAGGTTTTCAAGGCTGTTAACCTTTGGGAAATACTGCCAAGTCTATCTTCCAAGAAACTTCTTGGTGGGTTCACGTGGCCAACTTCCGTGTACCCATGGAATCCTTATACGTATGTACTTGATAAACATTTAGTGAATGAACCAACACAAAGCAGCCCCAGGTGGCCACTGCCTACACCATGGGCTCATCAGAATCACCTGGGTGCTGTGAGCCAGGTTCTTCCCTGTCAGTCTCGGAGCTCCATGTGCGGCTTCTATCAGACAACATTAGAAAGCCTCAGGTGCACTGACCTAGGACGGGTCCTGACCGACCTGCTAACAGTGTCCTCTCTGAGGTAGAGGACAGCTCTGATGGTCCTGAGAGGCGGTGGGTGGAAATGACCCCTCCCAGTACCTCTGCTCCCTGAGTGCCAGGAACCATGCCATCTTTGGCTTGTTTTCAGGCTCAGAAGCGGTGAGAGAAATGCTCCATCATTCTTGTCCTTGGCCAAGGGACTCTTGAGCCGTGGCCCTGCTTACCAAGGGATGCAAACTGCTTATGGAGGGCCAGGCGGGACTGCACTCTGGTCTTCAGCAGTTTCATGGTGGTCTCCATGTGGCTAGCGCTCAGCGAGTGGTCTGCCATCACTGTGTACTGTGGAGGACATGGGAATGCCACACCCTGGCCGGGGCTGCCTTCCCTCCCAACACGCCCCCTCCCTCTCCCAAGACCGCCT